TGCCCTAGCTGTGTGCCTTATTGTGCAATTTAATGCAGAGATGTTCAGTGCACTGCTGGGAGCTGTTAAACTCTTCCCACCTCTTGTCTTAAAGGCTGCTCCATTTCAGGGAAATATGTAATCCTTGCACTAGATTACAGCTCGCATATGAAAGGTTCTCCAGATGGCAAGATCATCACTAAGATGACGTGCACTTTTAGGACATGTGGCATTCTTTGTTTGCTGTTATGTAAGTAATTCAAAATTACAGAAAGAGATCTGCTTCCTCTTTCGACTGTCCACTGAGCCTCCCTCAGAAGATGACAGAGCAAATGAAGCAGCGGCACTCATGAGCTGCGGACATCTTGGTTTAAATATTTCCTTTATCAGCAGGAATTTGGCACTCCACTAGAAGTGTCATATTTCAGTCCAACTTACTGTCTAATGTAATTTTCTTATTTTCTGCTTTTGACTACTTGTATTCATTAACAGTAATTAAGAGAGAAATAATAATTCAGCCTAAAAAAATCATTAGAGGCCACATTCTACTACTGTTAGTAATTGAATTTCCCCGTTGAGGGTTAACAGTTAAACTATTCCTATCTTATAGCTGAAAGGGATGATGATTGCCTTTGAAAATCAAATCAAAATAACTAATAAATCCAGCATATTCTGTTCAATATCACTCTCTACTTTATAGTTTCCTAGCCACAGTCTACAGGTTTGTGCTGTTAAATGAAAATGTGGTTAAACAGATAGAAATGTTTTTCAGATATTTTATTCCAAGAATTTACAGTAATACAATCATAAAATCATAAAAACTGGCCTCTACAGTGATGCTAACTAAAAGCAATACACTCATTTGAAGCTTATGAATGTAAAACTTCTGTCAAACAAAAAAAATTAGGCTCATGTTCAACAAGATTTAGTTTTGAAAAGAAACACATTAAAAGTAAACATATTTTCAGGAAAAGTGTTAGGATAGGGACCTGGATGGGCCAAAAGAGATGTTTTTGACAATATACTCAACCTACCTGTGTCACAGGTTTCCCAGGGAAGGAGGATAATAGGTTTTTTGCCCTTACACTGGATTGTACAGGTTAACTCATAAAGAACTTTATTCAGAGCCATTAAAGCAAATAGAAATCTCTCATTGACTTTAATGAGCTTTTGTTCAGGTCTTATACATGACAGCTGAAAGACTGCCATTGATTGCAAGCCCAAATTTTATAAAGGTCTTTCATATCCCCAGGAGGCATTTGGAAACGTAAATGTATAAATAAGAGCATTATAAGATTAAAATTTGCCTGTTTCACTTTTAAAATTGTGAGAAAGCTTCTCATTGCACATATGTACATCCAGGAATATATCAGTTATTCTATGCACTTATTAATAACTCTTTCTTAGGTACCCTCACATATTTGGATAACCATCTCTGCACTGCTGGGTGACAGCTCTAAACATATAATCTACACAAAGTACATTTTATAATGTCTTTTCCCTTGATTTAGCCAGAATAATGGACACAGAATCTAAATTGTCACTTTGCTTTTATGTTGATATTATACTGACTATGCACGCAAAGACAATACCTGATCTGGCATAAAGTTAACCCTTTAAAATTTTTAAGAAACTTGAAGCAGCAGAATAGTCTAATATTTCATCAATTCTTTATAATATCTCCTGAATTTCTGATCTAAGAAAGCAGAAGCATCGCCAGGAACATTACTTTTATATTTCCTATGCTGTTGAATTATAACCCATAGTATAAAGGTCCATCAAATAGGAAAATTATCAGAACTGAATACAAAAAGAAGAAACTTCAAAAAGTTGTGCTTTAATTATATTAGGTGTTCACTATCACATTTCTGTAGTATGCCAAATAAGAAATGCTAACCTAATGTTATAAAACTTGACTTCACTCAGAATTTAGAAACAGCAACAATTAATTTAACAGAAATCTCTATCCTAGTTCAGGCAACTGAAAAAAAAATCCCAAAACCAGCAATATGTAATTTTTTAACCCTTAAATAAGAGTAAAATTTTACAAGTTCTATAGATGTTTATTGGCTTCTATTCAAAAGAGCTATTTTCACTCTTATGAATGACTGACAGATTTCCAAACCTGAAACACATCGGTATTAAAGCAATAGTATCATCTGCTATTCAGTATTACACAAAGCATTTTTTAAAAGACAATATACAATAGCTATGAACTAATTAATTTAGCCCCATATTAAGAAAAGGTAATTAATATCTAAGTTTTAATCATATAGAAAGCTAATAGCATTTCTAATTCAGCACTAACCATAACCCTGTTATTTTTCCACTATCAGTTAAGGTATTAATTTTATCCAAAGACAAATTTAAGCAGAAAGGAAATAGTAAACCTTTAAAAATCTTCAGTTTAAACATTTTTACACTTCAGGAAAATATGTGTGTATTCTTTAAAAATACAATTTTAGTCTTGTAAAACCAAGCAATAACAAGATAATATTTATTTTATAACACTTTTATGAACTAAATAAACACAATTTAATCAGGCCAAATTTTGCAGTTTAGAAATTAATGTCTCTCCAAAGGTGCATCTAATTTAGAACTTGATTGGTATCATGGTTTATGCTTTATCAACCTAACCCACTAGGCCATTACACAGAGTTATTCTCCAAGAGAAAAAATTATTCTAACATCTGTTTTCAATCTGTTTTTCTATAATTTCCTTTTATGCCCCATGTAACTCATTAAGTTAATCTACAAAACATTACTGAGCCTATCTGCACTATAAATGCCTTTCTCTTATATGATTTCATGAAAGTAGAAGAAATGGTAGCCACAGTCCACTTAAGCCTCCCACTATTTCTACTGCATCTTTTGATCGAAGAAAACATAATTTTGAAAGTCAGAATTTAATTGTGACACACATGTCCTAGTGTGCCATCATTCAACCTAATATCTTAAGTGACCTATACACTAACAAAGTGAGAAAAACACTTCCATGTCTTACCATGTCTGTTCCTTACCACTGCTGCAGTCTTAGGAGAGAATTTTTTTTTCAAAAATTACATATGTTCTGAATGGCTTGAAAGAGTGATTTTAATATTGTAATTCATTTGTGCAAATAATCTCCAGAGTACAGAAGAGAAGTAGAAAATGTCCCAGTAACCCAAAATCTTACATGTGTAGGATAAAAATAACCTGGAGTCCAGTGTGTCCTTCTAAATACATTTCCATTTTCTTCTAATGACAAAAAAATCTATATTTTAATATTCTGAAGCTAGTTTCAAACATTGTGATCTCTTCTGTGCCTTCTGCTTGCATTCAGTGATTGCTGTTCTAATTCAATTTGAGAGGAAAATACCTATTTACAGCTGACTTGGCCATAATGTATTCATCAAAGCAATACAAAGGTCATTCTTCCTTCAGAAAGATAAAGAATTCACTGTCAAAACCTGTCCTGCTAGCTCTCAAAAGTGCCATTTCTGTAAGAAAAGTGATATGCTATCTGATGTTAGCTAACAATTGATGATTAATGTGAGGTCAAAGCCTAGTGAAGAGAATATACTAATATTTATAAACATCAGTGAATTGAGCAAAAATCTGAGGGTATTTAGATTTACACCAACCTTCTATCTTGCATGAAAGCTGCATGGTGCCTACCTTGAGGATTTCACCTTGTATGAATTTCTGTGTGAGCTGCTGTAAATCTGAAACCAATGTCCAACTGCTAAAGGTTCTTTATGCTCTGAGCCTACATTGGCAATATATTTGTAAGTGAAAAGAAGATTAGAGGCTTTATGACTAAGATTTATGTTGTGAACAGAGAGTGACAGAGAAAAGCTTACTAAGGGAGGAAAGCAATACCTGCACAGGATAGATTGACTTAATTCTGCAGGAAAAAAACTCTAAAACTAGATGTTAGAAATATTAGAAAATAGTAGAAGGAAAAGAATAATGAAAAACAGTAGGAAATACAAGCACATAAAAAGTGAGACTAACTAAAAGAAGACATCACCATTACATACTCCAAATCAGACACTTGACCTATTTTGTATTCTTTCCTGAGAACAAATTATTTCAATTTAATAATTGCACAAAACTTCAAGAAGCCAGATAAAGTCATAAGGTCCTTCTTGTCATTAATTCAATTAGTCAGTGGGGTGACTTCCGTATGAAATAGACATGAAATGCGTAAGGGTAGAAAAATCCAATCTTGACAGCTTCCCTCTGATAAACACTGGGTTTTTAAATAACATTAGAAGAATATTCTCTCTGAAAAATAGAGAAAAATCCTACATGTGGAATAGAGCTAAAAGAGCTTGTATTTCCACAGCAGGTTACACAGTTTATGCAGCTATTTCCTGCATCCTAGATTAAGTTAAAACAAGAATAAGAATCTATACAAAGTGTAACAAAGACAAAATCAAACCCAAACTAGAATTCAGAGAAAGAATTGACTGTCCTCCTGATGTAAAGATACACACTTTTACCCATCAAGAAACAAATTTTACAGGTTACATTTTTTATCATGCAATATGCAAAGAAAATGTACATATTTACTTTGGGAAGAGTTTTGAAATATCTCTACTATTGTCCACTGACCAATTTACCAGTTAACACTTGTTAAGCATGGTTACAGTTCCCCAGTTCTTTATCCCAGCACTGGCACTAAAGAAAGACAAAGCTCCCAGGAGGGAATAATTCCAAATTATATCATCTGGCAAAGCGTCCTCAGGGAGCATCTGTCAGCTACAGGGAGCTGGCTCACCCTCTGACTACAATTCCAGCATATCACTCCAAATTTAAAATCTCTACCACATCTCCTTCCATGTGGGAAATTGAAAGAAGTCCTTTTTTTAAATAGCTAAGAAAAAACTCAATATCTGCTGACCAAGATATTTTATAAAGTTTAATAATTCTCGCAAAAATAATAAAACTACAATCACAATCAATTCATACTCGCCATGTTTCACATATGCACAGTTTTTCAGTTGCAAAGTGTGACATACAGAGAATTGACTTACAGGACCAAAAGCGTTGCTGTCAAAGCTGTGCCCATGGTGATCCCCTTCCACCCAAATATGACCATGTGGAACTTTCACATACTTCTTTTTGTATCCAATGGTTCTAAGCAGAATTGGAAAAAAAAAATGTTAGTTTAAAAGATTTTTTAAACAAACAAAGAAACAAACAAAAAAACCCAACTTCCCAAAACCCCCAAATCCAGAACACAAACAAAAACCCCCAAACCCAAAAATGTTTTTTTAGGAAAAATTCACATATTTCTGGGTTTGGAATTTGACTTTGCATACAACTCAGCATTAGCTAAAACCTGCCTGCATTGAAGTCCTTTGGACTTCAAGAGTGTTACCCAAGTCAAAATATATTAAAATTTTGTATGACCTGGTTGGACTATCAGGGCCTGTTTACTATATTGTTTTGTCAAGAATCACAACACAAGAAAGGAAGAGACTTTTCAGTTAAGTATAATTAACAGCACTTCTGTAGTAACAAAATTTTGAACCATCAGATTTTTATCTCAGGTAAATACCAGCAAACATTTATATGTTGCAGTCACATAATGATACAGTTTAAGACTGTTTTTCTTCATCAGAAATATACTGTTGTATCTGAACTGGCCTCAGATTCAGAGCATAGATTCCTGCAATTATTCTGTCCTGGGGGTAGGATTCGTTCAGCTGTAACAAGCTAAACAGGATAAACTTTAAAAAAACCTTTAAGAGAAGGCCAAGTGATGAAGAAAAATGACATTGATGCCATCCTCTACAGAAAATCACACTGCTGCAGCATGTCCCAGTATTACAAAATGACAAACTACAGATTAGTACTAAAGCTGAGGTGCAGAGGATGCAGAATTCCTGTATTTAGTTCCCCAAGTAGCTGTCATTGTCACAATGACAATCTGCCTTCTACCACACACTTTGCTTTCTTTCAGATGGGACCTGTTATTCTGCAGTCATTCACGCAGAGATGTTGTCATGCTTTAGCCTCAGACAGCAATTGCCATGCACACTGAATTATTGCCAGGATGAAGAATTTACAGATGGGACTATGAATAGTGATATCTCTTATTTAGTTTTGAATAAACAAGCCTGTCCATGGACAGAAACAGACTTTTGATCTAGCTTGTTGCCTCCAGCTGCTCATTGCTTTTCACTGTCTGGAAGATATGCCCCCAGAGCAGAAGGCAGAAGGAGCACACTCTAAAATGAAAAAAAATTCAACTGGAGAGAGAAAACCATCTTCACCAAGAGATTCAGTCAAACTGTGCAACAGCACTCATCAGGGATATTCACCAGACAAAATGAAAAATACTGGGTTTGGGGAGATTTGTTTTGGACAAACTAATCAATAACCTGGAGGCCATGAAATATTAGATGAATAAGGAACCCTCAAAAGTTAATTTTATTAACTTTGACTATATTAGTCAAATAAAAATAATAATTATTTTATTTGCAAGTCACAAAATCTAACTAATCCTTTTTCAAACAGCTATTTTTTGGCAGCTAAAAGGATGAACATTCCAGTACTATATTCAAATGGAATTCTACATGTACTTTCATTGAAAGCCAAAACCATAATAGGCTATTTGCAGAAAAGAAAAAGACTGATCTTCTCTTTTTCTAGAACAGTTCCATATTATTACACATTATTTGAGACTAAATTCCTAAACCATTAGAAGCAGAAATGTAAAACTGTCCTAGCTGGTAAATATATGATTTCCTAAATACAATGAGTACGCTATAATTGTTCAATTATGCTAAAATAAGCCATTTATTATTATGCCAGTCCTTTCTCCTTTTTTTTCAAGAGATATGGCATACAGTTTGAACAATAAAATTATTTATGTTTTTAGATTTCATAATGCTCCACCTCATTGATAGTTTCTTTTACAAAGTATCATATATTTTACTAGTCAAATGCTTTAAAGTATAGGTTGAGATTTATTAATTCTGCTATTTGATTAGACACTTCTGAAAATTATTAAATAGATCTCTTCCATCAGTTATAAAGGCAAACAATAGCTCAAAAATATTTACTTTTCTCTTCCATTCACCCTCCTGAATACACAAGGGTATATTGTGATAAAGTTTTGTACCCTTACAGACTTCATGTACAAGACTGAATTTCACTTAGAAGGGTGAAAGGATTTAAAAGTCAATTCTGTTGGCATGTTTACCTCATAAATGTCAGGAACATAATATGGCAAAGGCCAATCAGTGACTAAATTTCAGACCTGACACAATTTCTTATCCTCAGATAATCTCCTCCTTTATCATGATTGGGAAATCACTAAGATGAGGGGGGAAAAGTTTTGTAATATGTACTTAGAAACAAAATTGGAGGAAAAAATTGGTCTGCATGGATTGGTGTTGCAAAGGTTTTCAGAGACCCTGTGAAAATCTAAGGGTTTAACACAGGTGTATGGTGTGTTCTTTAAGGTCTAAGGCAAAAGGAGAAAAATTACAGAGTGCAGTAACTATAAATGGTTCTTTTTATTATTTCTAAAACATGGTAAATACATATTTCTTTTCTACTCCTGAGATAAGCATCATAAACCAGAATATTTTTCTACAATTATGCAAAAATAAAGTCTCTTGTAGTGATTAAAGAGGAATTATATACAAATTCTCATACTGTAAAATGCTAATTATTGTATACAAGTAGGTTTTACTTAGAGGAAATAGAATTAAAATTTACAATCTTAATAAACATATTATGAGAATAGGGAAGAAAAAAGAAACGGAAAAGAAACAAAAACTAGTTCTAATTGTCTACTTTAGTAGATTGGAGTGACACTTTATGAATAAATCCCTGAAATTCAGCAGTTAAATGTAAAACCTTCTGCCATTTCATCTATAGGTTATACAAATCATCAGATTTTGCCCACATATATGCTCAAGAGAAAAAAGTTATATTGTAAAAAATAAGTGCCCACATACCTGTGAACAGAAGAGAGGCAAGAAAATCTATTTTCCTAACACTATTGCTTCAAAATGCTTCTGTAGTATTTGCATGGAGCAGTTATCTGGGGACTTTTTATTCTTTCTAGCAATATTATTGCAAACACTGTCCTGTGGAACACTCTGGAATTTGAAAACAGACTTCTATTCAAGATTTTTGCTGCATGCATTAATAACAAATCATAGCAAAGGCTCATGTTACAGTGAGTTTCATCATCCTTTTCTTCATATTGGTTTTAATTTTTAAAATAATTTAATTGTTGAGTTACTCCACAATACAGCAATAAAGTATTCCTGCAAACAAACGAGACTGCAGGCTTTAAAAAGCCATCTTTGGTACACAATGGTAGGTTATTTTTAGTTACTCTTGAAAAGACTGTGTTGATACTTTTAAAATAAAAAATGCACAAACTTGGTTTTCTTTCCTAAGAAGAGAACCCAAATTGATTCATAGTCAAAGTTAGTCATTGTCCCTCACTTCCATGAATCCTGCAGAAATTTTAATTTCTGACCTAAATTGCACAGAAAAGACTATATGTGTGTGCTGCAGTGGCAATAAAAAACTCCTGATATAAATGTACAAACTACCATTTATTTGTTTCACTAGTTAAACATTTCAGCTGGGCATGATGAAATAAAACTGTTCTCCATAATTTCATTCAATGATACAAGGCCAAATTACCAACACAAACATTTTTGAAAAATGTTGACTCCACCTTTTTTCTTAAGGATAGCCTTGCAGACTACTGCTATCACATTTGGGGTTTAGATTTATGTAAATGAATAACAGTTTTAAATGTAATGATCAATAGTTCAGTGCAAAATAAATACAATTCAAAGTGAAAAAATACTTTGCAATGCTTCTAGTACTATTCAACAATGGCTGCAAAAAGAAAAATCCTCAAGGCAAATATCAATTTAAAAACACTACTAGCTCATCGGGAATTTTACATCAATTCCTTCTGAAAGGTCTTTGCTACAAAGGAATTTCAGTCAATAATATATTTTGAAAGCAATACAAACTTCTATTTTTCTGTTCTTAGTTGAGCATCCTTAGACTAATTTCTCTGACTGGCTGTAACCATGACCTCCGTTAGGTATCACACATGAAGTGTTAAATTAAATTTAGAAGATATCTGGATGAATCCTTAAGAGAAAAATTGCTATAAGTAATAATTAACTTAGTATTTGCTAATTTCATATCTAGTTCATTATCATGAGTTATAATTACTGAACAATCTCTTAAACTTCATAAAGCCTCTACTAATGAAGAGTAGTCTTTCACTTTCTTAAATTTACTATCTTATAATAAAAAATAACAAATATTTAACACCTCTTATTCTTCCCATTTAAATTGTTAGCTTTAGCAATACTACAGGCAAAGACATCAAATTACCCAGATTTTGATATATAGAATCCAAACATCTGTTAAAAACCATACTGAGCAAAAATAATAATTTCAGGTTTTACTAAAGTCTTCAACACATTAGTAAAAATCACCTAAGCTGCTGTTGCTCAAACTGTAGTTGAAGTCCCATTGGCTTAAGAACAGGGTCTACCAGAGTTGCAGTTATTTTCTTGTTCAGAACATAATGGAATTGCATTTATCTTTTTAGACATTTTTACAGAAGTTGGTCTGAAATTCTGATTTACTTTTTTCTTACATATGAGGTACATTTTGAACCTTTGCAAAGTTGTTTTTTTTTTCTCCACAATTTAATAGCTAACAGATGTACTTATAGCTATCCTTGGCTGAGAAATAATTTCAATCTTGACAGTCAAAAATGAGCTCTATATGGTATTCTAACCACCTGCCCACAAGGAAGAAAAATCTGCTTTTTTAGGATGCAGTAGCAGTGCCAAAGCAAGCAACTTGGCTCAGCTAAGCTGGATGAGGAATGATTGCCTTCAGTTTGATTTGACCTTGAGAAATCCAAAGGTCTCAGCAATCTGCATATCTCTGGGAGTCAACAGAGAACAAACACTGTAGATAATGTCCTGATTGCAGAGGAGATAAAACCAAAGTACAAACTCTTTTTATTTGCTACCCCTTTTTAGGTAGTTTCTATCATACTTAAGAACAACTTTCTCCAAGCAACATGAATTGCTGTACATGTTTATTGGGTTTGCGTGGCCAGGTTT